GACGAAATAAAAAAGAGAAAAGAAAAAAAGGAGGCATGCAGCCGATGAGAATACCAATAATAAACAATTATCATTTGGTTCTATGTAGGATGTTGTATAGTTTTTAAAAGATTATGGTATACCATACTCAAACCTTCAACGTCCTGATTTTTGTTAATATTATAGGGGTGTTTTCTAATTTCAATCATTTCATTTAATAATCTTTTTTTATAATTATTTTTTTTTTTTTTTTTTTTTTTTTTTTTTTTTTTTTCTGCTTTCTTGTCAGAAACCACCACTGTGGTTTGTCGACAAAGCCTCCAACATCACACACAAACCAAATCAAACAAACAAACAAACATCCATGCACCTAGCCGGGATTCGAACCCGAGACCCACTGCATGCAAAGCGAAAACACAACCGCTGAGCTGCTTGGGTCTGCAAATTAATTTGCTTTCCCAAAATAGCAACATTGTCAAAATCAAAGGCATGTTGTTCAACTTCGAAATGTTCCGCTAATGCAGTTTTATTATTTGTATTCAAAATATTAGCAGGTCTTATACTCCTAAAATAAGAAATATTTAATAAATAACTACAAATTTATTAACAAAATAGATAATTCTGGCCAAATTATAGACATGTGCGTTACCTAAAAACTAAAAAATAAAACATATTCTAAAAAAAAAATAGAACAGATGCGAAACTTTTTATAAGGGTAGAAGCTAGTAGATACCTATTGTAGATATCTACTCCTTTAAACTTAAAAAGCTACATAACATGTAAAGGAGTAAATAGGAGCTTTAGAGAGTCGAAAACAATCAAAAAATATAAACTCAAATATAGATAGATACAAACGAAAAATACGTAAAATAAAACAGGCACAAAAGACGAAAAAGTGAATAGGAACTCTTAGCATTCAAAAATAATAAAAATGCCACATATAGAAAATCCAAAATTTCAGAAATCTAACCAGAAAGTAGTGAAATATGACTTACGAGTCAAGAAACTCATCGACTGCATCATACTTACAACAAAATAATATTACCTAATAAAAATATGGCACTAGCTGAAAAGCTTGTAGTGCATGCGTTGAGGACAATTTCAGCAAAATATAGGAAAAAATGACAAAATAATACCTGAAAAATAGTGATATTAAGATTCTTTTTTAAATTTTTTGCGTATCAAATCAATTTCTATTGTTCATCATCAGAAGAATCATGCATTATCCCTTCAATTTCATCGTCCATATCGTCGGTATAAAAATAAGATATTGAGCGTGATAAACGAGGAAATTTATATGAAAGTAGTATGGAATTCTTATTAATTCAGGGTTCTGAACAACAACGTTCATCAGATTTTTTGAAGGCAATGCGAAACGACAATTTTTAACAATCCTTGATCAAGTTTCTATAGGTACGAGTTCGAAGGACATATACATAGAGAAATTGTTGATACCTTCAAGTGTTTCCATGAAGAAGTCTATCATTTGTCAAAAATTGAAGCAAATAACGCAAATACTAATGTGGTAGATCATGGATCTGACACTGACATACCAATCTGCACAAAATTACCTAATAAAAACGTCAATGTATGAATGAAGGTTGGAGCTGCATCTAAAAATACCTGTAGATTTGTTGACGTATGTGCAGTCTTCAATAAATTAGGATCTAGTATGTTTTTTGATAGATCTATGATCTGATTATGATAGTACGATGTTACCACCATGCAAAACCATGTTAAGATTCTTGAACGGACTTTAATTTGGTTTGGGGTTACAATGATCGTAAAAAATATCGAATCGAGCATCATTGATATTGCACAAATTGGGTTTTCCGTACATTGTACAGATAAACTTTTCTATAGATTCACACTTTGCTCTTTCGAAATGCCAGCATTATATATAGTACCTACTTCTTGTAATTTCTGGTCCTATACTAAAAGGCTTCAGCTTGCCTTTTCTGGAAAAGGATGCGGTATAATTACATCCAGTAGAAGCATGAAAAGTTGGTGGAGATTTGTACATGCTGGATCTCAATTTATTAAAGATTGCACTCACGTCAACAAATCTACAGGTATTTTCAGATGCAACTCCAACTATATATCGACGTTTTTATTAATTTTGTGTAGATTCCCTCTATGTATATGTCCTGGGACAACAGTAAATTTGTAACAATCTTTATTGCAATTGACATATATAGTTTTATTACTCACAATTTCAACAAACATATCATTTTGCCAAAACTGAAATAAAAATTTGATCAAGGACTGTTTAAAATTGTCGTTTCGCATTGCCTTTATAAAATCTGACGAACGTTGTTGTTCAGAACCCTGAATTAAGAATTCCATACTACTTTTATATAAATTTGCTCGTTTATCACGCTCAATATCTTTTTTTTTATACTGACGATATGGACGATGAAATTGAAGGGATAATGCATGATTCTTCTGATGATGAACAATAGAAATTGATTTGATACCCAAAAAATTTAAAAAAGAATCTTAATATCATTATTTTTCAGATATTATTTTGTCATTTTTTCCTATATTTTGCTAAGCTTTTCAGCTCGTGCCATATTTTTATTAGGTAATATTATATTGTTTTAAGTATGATGCAGTCGAAGAGTTTCTTGACTCTAAGTCATATTTCACTACTTTCTGGTTAGATTTCTGAAATTTTAGATTTTCTATATAAATATATATATCTAAATGGCATTTTTATTATTTTTGAATGCTAAAAGTTCCTATTCACTTTTTCGTCTTTTGTACCTGTTTTATTTTACGTATTTTTCGTTTGTATTGATCTATATTTAAGTTTATATTTTTTGACTGTTTTCGACTCTCTAAAGCTCCTATTTATTCCTTTACATGTTATGTAGCTTTTTAAGTTTAAAGGAGTAGATATCTACAATAGGTATCTACTAGCTTCTACCCTTATAAAAAGTTTCGCAACTGTTCCATTTTTTTTTTTATGAATATGTTTTATTTTATAGTTTTTAGGTAACGCACATGCCTATAATTTGGCCAGAATTATTTATTTTGTTAATAAATTTGTAGTTATTTATTAAATATTTCTTATTTTATGCTGTATTAACAACAAAATACAAATTTTCTAGAGCGTCTGCAACTTGTTGTTGACCGTCTGCCGAATTTTAAAAAATATTTGTTTACTCTACACACAAATACCTTTCATTTAAACCCAAAGGTAACTTACGTCAGATTTTCGGCGTCGCGGCGGGCGTCTGCTTTACATAGGCGTCCAAATATCGACGTCTGCCGGCCGAATTAGGTATCTAGGAGCTTTTCCCTTACACATTCTGAAATTTTTAGGCATGTACCAATGAGGTGAGAAAACCCAGATTTTCGTCTTTTTGACGAGCTGTCATTTGTGAAGTTGACCGCTGGACCCCGGCAGACGGCCGATTATGAGATATGCACATAAAGTACTTTCATCCAAGAAACTCGAACCTTTTTTACCCGATGAGGTGACTTATTTGCTTCTCGGCCGTAGGTCTATAAGGTATTTGAACAAACATAGTTTTCTCTGGTTTCAATAAAAACAACTAAGTCCCTGTCTATAGGGTAAACCCATGGTGACCCTCGACTAAAATCTGGGACGGTATAAGTTGATGCATTTCAAAAGCCAATATCCGCCAGTGTACGAGGTAAAGAAGTCATCCGGGCTAACTCAGGAGGAAAGCAATTCCTCAGAAAAGTAAACTTCGCCGATGCAAGATCAAGATACATTCAAAAACAATTTACTGCAGGCTAAAGTTCATTTATTCCCAGAACCAGAAAAATTATGTTTAAAATTTGTTCAGACACTATTTTGTCTGTCTATCTTTTGAGCATGAGTGCATACGTATGTTTAGTCCTTTATTGATCTGCGGTTCAGAAGAGCCCATTTGCTGAAATTGATACGGCAATTTCAAGATATAGTAGTGATAATTTCAACAATAGTATTTGGTTAACACCGATGAAACTATCGAATCATCCTGGTTACTGGGCCGTGTTTCTACCGGCAAATTTGTGCTCAGCAAAACTAACACTGTTGAAGATATTCAACTCACGACCATAGTAGTCTGTGATTTAAAATCTCTCGTAGGATCTTCTCTCATAACTGGTAGATATTCTTGCAGACGTGGAAGTCTCACACTATATCCCTTGTTAGAAAGCTCGATTGGTATTTCTAGCATCCGAACGAAGGAAGGGCTCAATGATAAGAGTTCTGATTAGTGTGGCCAAGCTTTTTGAGCTGAGAATGGATAAATTATTCGTGAAACGGTCTCGAAAATCATTTAACTTACATAATATGAGCTTCACCAGGTTTTAACTTTAGCAAAGGAAGCCGTGCGAATCGAAACTGATGGCCTTTTTAATGATTCAGCGCTTTTATGGCGACAGGCCGCCAGTATTTTAGAGACATACGCCAACGCAAATATAGATCCCGATGAAGTGGGGATTGTTACAAAGGTAAAATCGTTAATCGGTTGGTTAGTATCACGAGCAATAGAAAACAACAATGTCAAGCAACTAGCGCCCAATTCTCTTTGCTTGAAAAGTTATCAAAATTACATTGCGAAAGCTATCGACGAAATAGCACAGAGCGGCACAGAATCGGATCAGTCAGATTTTGCGATGCGTGAACCTAACGAAATTAAAGCGCCCCATTTATGGGATTTGAGTGGCCAAGAGGACGTCCGTGATTTTATTGTCAGTTTGTTTGTCGCCAATAACACCTTCATTTTAATGATGTTTGAACCTCCGGGTACGGTAAAAACCTTCATGGCTGCATCGATAGCGAAATCGTATAATCTACTTTTTATTGAAGTAAACAGTGCAAACCTAATGTCGGCCTATGTAGGTGGCACCCAAAAGAACATTAAAAACTTGTTCGAATTGGCTCGTAAAAAGGTGACGGTGATCTTTCGGTCCTAATTTTTTTCGATGAGGCCGAAGCAATCTTTTCGACACGAAAAGACAGTCCTATAAATACCAATCCAGTGACACAATTTATGATTGAAATGGAAGAGGAAACAAACAAAGGCGTTTACTTTTTCTCTACTACCAATTTGTTCAGTAAAATAGAACCAGCGATAAAGAGACGTTGTTATGGACTGTTTATTGGCTATCCAAAAACTAAAGAGGCCATTGCATCAATATATCTTGACAATTTGGCCAATTTTGAGAATACAGTTAGCGACGAAACCATAGAAACTTTAGCAACGGCCAATGATAAATTTCTCTCGCCTAGCGTCATTGCGAGCATAGTCAAATTGGCTTCCACTTTGGCCAATACGAATGATAAGATTCGTAGAGTAAAAAATCACTTGTACATTCAAGATCCTAATGGTCCCTATACGTTTGCCGATGTTTCTAAGGATGAAGAGAAACCTATCACAAAGCAAATTTTAGAAATTGTACCCATTAATGATAATCATCTGATAAATGCGCGGCGTGTTATACCATCTGCCATTACGGCTGGAGAACTAGAACGTTATAAAGACGAGGCCAAAGAACTATTGCAATTGTAAGGTTCGATTTTGGTTGAGAAAATTATACACATAATTGATCAAAAGGTCTTTATTTTTTATAAGCAATTTTTAACCTAGGGATAGGGGGCACACAGTCGTCCCAATCGTCGTCTTCTTGAGGCCCCTGTTGAATTGGCTCGTCATTGTTCCATGTCGCTTGAGGCCCCTGTTGGAAGACGAGCCGGTCCAATTTTGTTTGAGACCCAACAACTATCCGCCGGATATTATCATTGAGAAATTTATCGATTGCGATGTGACGGAAATGATTGAATGTGATGTTAATAATCAAATGGCCTGTTTTTCTTGTAAACAACTAAACGCTTCCTGTATTCATTTCGAACGAGATATGACTCTTCGTCTCTCCAGAGACAAAAGTGTCGTTACATTAAAAGCGAACCGTGACGCTGCTAAAGGCTATGACATAAAAAGTACACGGAAAAGGGAATGCAACCCTGTAGGGCAGAGTGGGGCACTTTCGGCCATTTTTGTTTTGTTTTTTTTTTAAATAAATAAATAAAAAAATGTGTCCCGGTGGCTGATTGTACCCCATGGTGAGGTACAATCGGCCAACGCATGGCGCAGTTTCGTTCGTGAGGCAGATTCATAAAAAAAAATACAAAAAAAATCCGTTTTATTATTATTATTTATTCAGAAGAAATAATACATTTGAAAGTATTTCTTATACTAAAACAAACCATTCCATCCTGATATCATTCATTCTTTTGATATTGGAAAAAAAATAGCAACAGAAACATTATTTCATACAAAAAAAAAAATCTTCAAAGAATAGCTATTTATATAACAAGTACATAAAGTAAGGCTTTATTGTACGAATAATTTTATGGCCGAGCGAGCTTGCGAGCGAGGCTATTAAATAATGAGTCAATAAAGCCTGTTTATGTAAGCGTTATACATATACATGATTTTATGTACGATTCTGACTGGTTTTTGTTAAAAATTAAAAAAATTGAATGAAAAAAGTAAAATTCGCGTAGGTATACCTGTTTCACCTTGGCAGGTTGTCAAGACCTGTTTCACTTTGGCACGTTGTCAGGACCTGTTTCACCTTACCAGGTAGTCCAGGTAGGCAATAAAGTAGCACTTTGTTTTACTAGTACAATAAAGTGCTACTTTATTGACGCAAAACTGTTCTATAAATAGCACTTTATTGGTCAATCGGACATAAAAATATTTTTTGTGCAACCATCCACAAAATGAGCTTTCGCGGCCGCCACACAGTCCGCGAAATTCAATTTCGCGGCCGTTGCCCTTGGTGACGGCCGCGAAACTATAAATCAAAATTTGACACTTTGACAACAACAATAAGTAAATTTTATTTCCAAATTCTTCAGAACAACATAAATTATTTAGGATAAATATTAACACTTACATGACAGTTTGCATTATTACTAATACCATATTTTTTAGCTCTGGAGGAGTGCAAGAGAGTGAAACATCTGTATCGCTGTCGGATATTTTGACGACTTTTTGAGAACCGTCAAAATTTTTTGTGTATTTGTTTACTTGCAAAATATGTCATCCATGACATCCATGGAAACGCTGTGCCACCATAGCCACCAGGTTATACATCAAACTGGTAATTAGTTCCACATGTTTGTTGAAAGGAGTACATTTTTTCTATAATTCCACATAATTTTCATGGTTGCACAAAAAATAGTGTGTATACCATGACCGCGAAACTTTTTAGCGTCCTCGAGATTATCTTGCCTCGGCCGCAAGCGGCCTCGGCGATAACTTTTCTCTACGTACGCTAAAAGGCACTTCGCGGCCTTGGTATACAAATAACTATTTTCTACTCACTTAACATTAATTCCTTCAAAATTATAATAAAATGTCAAGGTTGAATCTCTATGAGATTTAGAGTATTTCTTGAGCTTAGCGCAAATATCTGATTGTTCGCAAGTCTCTATATCCTCAATTTGTGGAAAATAAAATTTGTTACTGTTACATCTGCGTCTCAAGTATTTCACTTTAAATTTTTTATCGGATATATTATCTACTAAAATTCCAACATAGTAAATGGATGCTGTTTTAACCAAAAACTTGACTAATATGTAGCTGTTAATGTTTACCTCATCATCGTCTTGAAGAGACTCAAAACTCTCGTTGTCACCGCTGTCATCCAAATGAATATCATTTTCTGATTCGCTACTGGAACTCTCTTCAAAAACTTTTTTTTAAATTCTCTGAATTTTTGCTTTTTTAATTTCCGCTGTAGTATCTGATGATAAATCATCGTTATTCCTCTTCAGTTTGCCATTTTTCTTTTCTGCTTTTAGTTTTTCCTTCAACATTTTTTCGTCCTGTAGTCCTCAAGTCTTTGCTTTTCTGGTGTTTCCGTATAGATTCTAGACTTTCCTTGATTTGCTTTGGTTCTTTTCGTAGTTTCTGCACATTTTTCAACTTTTGGGAAGGGTCTAACACATTCCGGACTTAAAAATTTTGCGGTGCATTCTAGAAGATGCTGGAACTCCTTTTGAAGTTGATGGTTGATTTTGCATCTCAGTATCATATTTTTCGGAGTTAAGCTCTTTTACAGAGGAATTATGCACTTCTTCTTCTGTTGAGGTAGATGCCTGATTTAGAGTTTCTTTTTCAGACTCTACAACACTTGCAATATTCTCCTTATCATTAGTTTTATAAACCAGAGTCGCATCAAAATCCTCAACAGTGAAGGCCATTGAATTTAGAGGCCATATGCCTGGCTTTGCGAACGAACTCGTAATATTTCGAGGAGAAAAGGCCTCTAAAAATGGATGCTTCGTAATTTTGGGTATTTGTCTAATAGAAACAGTTCTTCCAGGGTTACTTATCATCCATTCATTTAAGGCGACAGAGCATTTAGATTTGAACGGACCATATACTCCAACATCAAGTGGTTGGAGTTTATGTGACGTGTGTGGAGGAAATGAGAGTAAAACAATTCCATGCTCCCTTGCAAACAGTATTGCTTCTAAACTTGTTTGCGACTAATGATTATCTAACAGAATCAAAATTTTGTTATCTTTACTAGATTGTGTGTGGTGAACAATATGTTCCAAAGTTTTGAGAAACAATTCCTTCGTCATCCATCCTGATTTGTTTCCTAAGGCTACACTTAAAGATGGTGCATCAGTAAGGTATTCTTCAACATTTCTTATTCTTGGAAATATGTAAACTGGTGGTAAAGCAGATCCTGTAGCATTTATTATACCCACGAAGGTTTCAAGTTCGCCCCTTTCAGCTGAAGCCACAAGAGCTATTTGTTTTTTACCTTTTTGAGCGACTATTTTTGGAGGATTGAGAACTGTTGTTACCCCAGTTTCATCCAAGTTAAAAATACGATCAGGGCTAAAGTTGTATTTTTGTAGTACTATTTTGTAATTGTCAAAAAACTGTTGTACAGGGTATTTGATTATATTTGGCACCATACCTACACCCTTTACTATTTAAGATAGAAAAAAAATTTAAATACAAAACTTGACAGTTTTTTTCTGTATTTCCTGATAACGTTATCAGAAAAAACAAAATCGCATCGGAAAATGGAGAAACGTAAGCAACTTTGACTTTTTTAATGGACCACCCTGTATATTATGCGATAAAATGAAAGATCTATTCTTTCTGAATCCAAATATATATATATTGATAACATTTGCTTGAGCAATTTTTGACATATCTCAGGTTAAATTATAAAGAATTTGCAGAAAAGTTCCATAAGGATCTCCATCTTTATAAAATTTCTTTGCAATTTAGTTATAATTTAAGCTGAGATATGTCAAAAATGGCTCATGCAAATGTGATCAACATATATATATTTGTAATCAGGAAGAAAAGGTCTTTCATTTTATCGCAAAATATACAGGGTGTTCCATTTAAAAAAGTCGAAGTTGTCTACGTTTCTCCATTTTCCGATGCGATTTTTTTTTTCTGATAACGTTAAAAGAAAATATAGAAAAAAACTGTCAAGTTTTGTATTTACAATTTTTTTCTATCTTAAATAGTAAAGGCTGTAGGTATGGTGCCAAATATAATCAAATACCCTGTACCTTAGTTTTGTTAAACCCAAGACCTCTGGCTAGACTGGTGCTCTCCGGCTTTCTTAATGATAAATTCGGATGTCTCTTCATAAATCCAAGTAACCAATCCTTTCCTGCCTTCTGGTTTTCGTTCCAGCTTGATGGGTATTTGCAGTCAGGTAGTATTTTCGCATAGTCAAAAACTAGAGTTCGTATTTGAATATAAGTCAGGCCATAATTCATATTTGAACACTGCTTTATATAATTCTCCAACATTTCTTCTTGGGCTATAGAAAATACATTTCTTGTCGCATATTTATCCGAAAAAAAAAATCCGATTTAGATAACAACTAGGTAGGTATACCTGAAATTATGAAATTGAAAATTTCATAAGGACACCTAACTGATGCATGCACCAAGTTTACGTGCCGTCACAAGAAATCTTAACCTTTTTTTCTGTTTCGCTGTCGTATCCATCGTCGTCATACTTCTGTACAAATTCTTCGGCTGTCATCGATTTCAGAATGTTTTTTATCCGAGATTGTAAAGTTGATCTTTTCAAATTGAAATCTTGGGCCACTGCCCTTAAAGACATGTTTTTATTGAATATATTCAAAATAGCTTCTTTCATTTGTGGCTCACTAATTTTGTCTCTATCTGTCTTCTTATGGTAGTTCCTCACCATCTATGAAACAAAAATTCTATCAATTTCCATTACCAAATCCTACTACCACATAAAAATGGGGCACAATCGGCCACATGGGGCACAATTGGCTACTGGCCGAATGTACCCCATCATGCATGGACGAATGTGCCCCTTCAGACATTCAAGAGCCAAAATATTTTTTTTCGGAGAACTGACTTAATTTGGAGGTTATGTCATGGCACATATTAAAACTAGAGACTTTGGAGTTGATATGCACGACATTTTGCAAAAATATGTTAGCAATAAACCAGGGAAAAATTACAAATACTGGAATTCAAAAAACTTACCTTGAACTCAAAAAATACACTGTTTTTTATAACAAATTTGCAGAGCTCGCGTGGGTCACAATACGTAAACAGGAAAGAGTAAAAGCATGGTTGCCAACATTTTTGATGGTATTTGGCGCAAAATTTCAAATATTTTAGATTTTATTTGCTATGGCCGAATCTTCCCCGTGGCCGAACGTGCCCCACTCTCCCCTAACAGGAAACTGGGTCTTGTTTAAAACTGATACGGAAACGGAAACTATGGGATGGATATGCAAGTGTACGTATCCAAATCTCGTTACCCAAATCAATTTAACCAGTGATTGTGACGTTGAAGTTGGTTGCGGAAAGTATGGCAAATTTGCTCGTTCCGAAATTGATCTTATGTCACGTAATTGCTTATTTGACGACCCGTACATATCTGCATTTGATAATATTCCTGGACCTCATTGCCGTTTACCTAAAGTGTTCGAAATTAAAACGGACATTATTTATTTGCCCAATCAAGCAACGATTCCAGTCAGTTCATTTGATCCTGCGTTTAGGCATAAAGGACCCCGCACATTTTTCATGGAAAAGTGATCTATGTGGAATTTGGCTGAATTTTTGATATTGTGTAGAGTAGAGGCAGTCGTCCTTAACAAAAGTTAACATTGCGCTAATGTTTAATATCGAACAGTTTTTAAGATATCAATTAAAAACTTTTTTAATATAATACTC